TACTGTCTGTCTCTGCACTGGTAGTCCTCAGAGGTGCCTGAACAAAATCCTTATTGGTTCTATTCTCCTCTTCCTGATTTTCCACTGAGACTCCCCCAGCAGCCCTGGTGCTCCAGCTGCTCCCTGAACCCCTTGCTTGTGTGCACCCTAACACACTCCTCACAACCCAGGGCTAAGCTTCTCTCCTGCCTGCCTCCATGGTCCTGTGTCGGGGTCCCCAAGGGCAGGATGACAACGCTCCAAGCCTAGGGAGTTGTCATGCCTGAAGAGCAGTGGCACTTAAGGCCACTCATGCCTGCTCATGCCTCTCTTCTCCATCGCCCGCAGCTCTCTCCTGGCCTCCTTTTCCAGCTCCTGTCTGTCTTCAACACAGCGGCCTATAGAGCAGCTTCCTCCCAGTCACTCAGTACAGCACTGGCCTTTGCTTCCTTCCCCTCAGGATGAAGATCACATTCCCTGTGGTAACTTCTCTGAGCAGAGCATCCCGTGCATACTCAGTTCAGGCTGTTAAATGCCCAAATTCCACATGGTCCAGAGCCACGACTCTCAGTGTTTAAGCCTCCCCAGCCCTGCTGCTCTTGCCTCTCTGCCCCTTCCCTCACCCTTCCTCATCAGTGATGCAGCATGCTATGTGGGAAGCACAACCTGGCTGTATTTACACCTTCATGTACGCACACATGACTCTGGTACTTCTCCAGCAGTGACTGCACCCTGATGAGGTCTGGTCCTGCTTCCCCTCCAGGAGCAGCTGCTGTGTCTCCTGAACTCAATGGCTGCCCAGGAGGACTTTGCAGGGTTGTTCTCTTGGACAGAATGGTTTTTCTCCACCTCCTAAACCCTACCTATCTCTTCCCCTGAATCAAATGCTCCCATGGTTTCTAACAGAGTGTGCTTTGCATACTTACTTGTGTGAACATCTGATTAAAAGCTCTCACTACCCATGGGCAGAATTTCAGCGATGGGGAGGACAAATACCTTGATCTCTCTTTACTAAAATTCAGTCCACCAGACCAATTACTTGTAGAGATGTCCCTGCTGGGTGGGGGAAGCTCGTACAACTCTTGGATAAATGGGAGAACCAGGCAGACACAGAAAGAGCTTAGTGCCCCATGTGTGCACGTGTGTGGATTTGCTCTTATCTATAAATAAAATAATGATGATAAAAACAAGCACACATAACCTGTGCAATGAAGAAACTGCCCTGAATATTCAGATGTCAGTTATATAAGCCAAGAGTTCCTCTCTCCACACTACTCAGAGTAGTTACTTCCTATTATGGGGAGAAGCTATTCGAAAGTGTGTTACTTACATAAGGGTCAGAGGTTGTCATATTGCTGCTTTCAACCACCAACAGCTCCCAAGATTCCAGCAAAATATATTCTTGAGCCATTACCCCAGGATGAGTCTGTTTTCATCATCTCAAAACAACAAATGCAGATTTAAAAGAGAAGAAAGCTCTAGTCCCCTGAGAGGCCGGCCTGGCCAACAGCCTCAAGCGCAGGCAGCCCCTGTGAACGCTAATGTGCTGAGGGAAGGCTGAGTTCAGCTAGGACTGCCCTTCCCGCTGCCCACTCACCACTCAGGAACAGAAGCCAAAACATCCTGTCAAACCGACTCAGGCGGCTGTACTCTGTCCTCACAGCTATCACAGAGCACAGCACTAAGACCAACAAGATCCAGGTTTGGGAAGCTGGGGTGAAGGGACCTTGAGGACTCAGAGAACCCTGACTGCCTTCCACGTGACACATATACCCACTATGGGCTTGCTGCTGTTCACTCTTCTCCAGACGGAGCTGTCTCCAGCTGCAGGGCAAGTGGAGCTATGAGCACTCTGTCACTAGCACTGAGGAGCTAGCCAATGAGAAACGGTGTCATTAAAGTGCCAAGAATGCCTTGGGTGCCACTGCTCTCTGGGAAGCCACTCTGAGAGAAGACTGAGGGACAAATTCCTGTGGGGACTGGCCACTTAACTCCAGAGAGGCTACTAAGGGTTTGGGCTTCCTCCTCCAGGAGCTGCCCAGCAGAGAAGCCTCTGGCTGGACAGAGGAAGTCTGAGAAATGCATCCTGAGGACAGTGAGCCTAAAGCTGTGCAGCTGTTTCTGGTTGTCTTGTCAAAACAGCCCCTGAAACCCCAGTTCGACCCATTCTAACTGCAAGAATCACACTCTGCTTCATACTTTTGTCTTACTGCATCTTCGCATGAAAAACAAAGGGGTTGTTTCAAACTACTTGGTACTGAAATATTTCATCTCTGTGTGCCTGCTTTCCATCGCGGCAGATGTCCTGAGGTCTGTGGCTAGGAGAGTGTTGGTGTGTTTTGGGAGATGAAAGGAGAGCGGCAAGTGTTCTCTCCTTCCCGTGTAGTTTACAAACTCCAGACTGAACTACATGCTCATCCCCTGAAGGCCACTATGCGAGGCCTCTCCATCTCACACACCTACTTCCGTTCTATCATGTTCCATCCTCTTACTCTCTCTACTCTTCTAGCTGTGAATTTACACCATGGAAAGACCAGATGACTACAACTCACATCTTAGTGCTGGAGAAAGTAAGTGTATTTCACATTTTAAATAAGAAGGGTGAGTGGGCAGGGAAGAAGGATTGAAGGGTAGGGGGACGGAAACATAATAATTGTGAAAATGTTGCCTTGTGTTCCTGAAACATGTCCCTGCTGGCTTGTGAAAGTCATCAAGTTCACCACTGCTCAGGAGAACGGTGAGGACGCTGTGCTCAAGGAAATAAGCCAGTCACTACAGGAAGATGGTATATGATCCCACTTATACAAGATACCCAAACAATCCAATACACAGAGACGAAAGAAGAAGGATGGTTCCCAGGGCAATGGGCAGTTATTACTCAATAGGCAGTTTTCATTTTTAAAATGAATAAACTCCTGATATGCCAAAATTGCTGCTTTGCCTCTGGCTGGACCTCAACAACTCAGGACCAAGTTTCCTGAGAAATTAAACTGCCGAAAGTTAGCTATGTGGGAGCCATGCCCACAAACCACCTCTGGCCCAGCTATACAAGCTCATTTATTGGCCTTGTTTCAGAGATCCATAAATAAATTTTGAAAGAGATCAAAAGTTAATCTTGGGCCCGAGCAAGGCTGCACCAATCAGGGTAAGCTGTGTGTGTGTGTGTGGGGGGGGGTTGTCAGCTATTAACCTGTTGAAAATTTGGATATGTGGGTTTTGTGATTGAAATCTTCAGGCTTTCTCAGAGTCGGGGTGGGCTACTTCCTCCCACTTCCAATATATCTGGAAGCACCGGCAGTCACCCCCACAAACTATCTCCAGCACCACAATGTCAGCTCTTCTACTAGCCTTGCCTCAGAGAACCAAAAATAAATCTCGAAAAAGATCAAATAAAATAAAAAAAGAACTGAATAGGGTTCTGAGATGAGTGGTGGTATGAATTGAGCCCCGTAGCATTATTGACTAAATGCTATTGAGCTGTAATCTAAAATGGTTATGATGGCAATCTCTGTGCTACATGTATTTCACCACAATTAAATACACTTTTAAATAATTAAGACTTTTTTAAAATTTATTTTTGGGTCACACCTGGTGGGGGTTATTCCTGGCTCTTCACTCAGGAATTACTCCTGGCGGTGCTCAGGGGACCGTATGGGATGCTGGGAATCGAATCTGGGTCGGCTGCATGCAAGTCAACCCCCCTACCCGCTGTGCTAGTACTTCAGCCCAAAGATTTATTTATTATTTTGGTTTTGGTGACACACCTGGTGGTCTCAGGGATTACTTCTGGCTCTGTGCTCAGGATCACTCCAGGTGGGATTTAGGGGACCGTATGGGGTGCCATATTAAATCCATGTTGAAGTCTGTGGGAAAGGGAAGTGCCCTACCCAGCCCCCAAAGATCTTTGTTTGCTTGCTTGTTCTGTTTTTGGGCCACACTCAATAGTACTCAAGGTGCTCAGGGATCCTCAGGAGCCCTGCTTCCTGATGGGCTCAGGGGACCATAGGGGATGCTGGGGATAGAACCAGGGTCTGCAGTGTTCTATCCCCACAACCCTACCCACTGTATTATTGCTCCAGCCCCAAAAGATACTTTTTAAAAGTTTAAAAATCAGTAAAGTAAAGGTAAAGGCCCTCCCGTTGATCGTCGATTTGCTCGAGCGGGCCCAGTAACGTCTCCATTGGAGACTTTGTTGTTACTGTTTCTGGCATATCGAATACTCTCGGTAGCTTGCCGGGCTCTCCGAGAGGGGCGGAAGAATCGAACTCGGGTCGGCCATGTTGGCCGCTTGTAAGGCGAACGCCCTACCCACTGTGCTAAAGTTATTACTAAAGTTATATTAGTAACATTATTATCTTAGAAACTGAATTAGCATAGCCCTGACTGGTTGACAACAAACAATACAGATCATTTCCCCACAGGCCTAAGTACGACCTTGCTTCTTCCTTCCCTTTAGGGGTAGCAAACTGACTGAAGCAGTTCCTAGATCTTTGGTCCCAAGTTGGACTCTGCCCAGCACTTGCCCCAAACACTGAGTTCTCCTGCCCCTGCTGCCCCAGCAAGGCCCCGGGGTGCTGAGAACAAAGCTGGTCACGCCACATTCACATGCAGCCTGAGCCACTCCCGCACTGACCAGCCAGCCAGCATCCCACGCTCTCACACCTCAGCCCAGCAGAGAGCCCACAAAGGCTTCAGAGGACAAAGAAGATTGAATGTCACCACTGACACAACAGCCCTCAGAGGCCCTTTCTCCTGCCCACTTTCAAAGGCCACATATTCTGAGTCAACAGCAGGGACTCAAGCAGCTTCTAAGGGAAGAGGCTGCAGGGGATGGGCCGGGCCCAGCCGTTTCTGCTCCACACCGGCCTTCTCTGTAGGACCCTGGACTGTGGCAGGGACACAAACACAGAGGTCAGACCTTCAGTAGGCGGGAGCCCCGGGGGATTTCTGAAGCCTCTGAGAGAGGTGAATAAAGGTGGTAGAGAGGTCTGAGGAGACGGCAGCAGTGCAAGCCCACTTACCTGGTTACAGGTGTTTATGTCTACCCCATTCCGCAGGTGATCCAAGGCTTTGTCCAAGTTCCCTGACCTGGCTGCCCTCAAAAAGCTTGTCGCCGCGTCAGCCTGTGGAGAAAAAGCAGGCTGTGAGTGTGCTGTCCCTCTTAAGCTTGTGCCTGGTGCTGCCCGCTGTGGCTGCCAGATGCCCCTGGGACCTTGATGCTTTTGAACCACAGTTTAAGCTAGCCTCAAGCTGGGTCTCCCTTCCATTTGCTCTCAGTTAGTGTTCTTGGCTCGGATCCCAGAGGGAACAGACTTTAGGAAGGACCCTGTTCCTGGGGAAGGCATGGACCCCCATGCCTCCCAGGCAGCTCTGTCACAGGGTCCTTGGCTCTGTCACAGACACCAGCACATGGGAACCATTTAGGTGTTTTTTGATGTCACTTTGTGGTTTTGTGCTTGAAGTGAATAATGCATACTAACAACCACTATCAGCACCTTACACCGAACATATACCATAACCCCCAGGAAGATGCTTAAACCTCATTTGTTATAAACTCCAAGAGACAAGAACAATTGTGGTCACACATTGCAGATGAGGTCACCAGGTCTGACAGCTGAGTCACCTACACAGGGTCACAGATCAGGAAAGAGGCTGAACCAGGACCTAAAAGCTGGTGGCTCGACAGTGTCATGAGCTCCTGTTCTTGCTCGCTGCCAACCCAGCCAGCTTTGCCTGGCATACATCCTTCATCAGTCAGCATTCCTGGCTGGGGGAAAACACCAACAGGTAACAGAGCAAGTCCCCACTTCCAGGATGCTGGCATTTAGTAAAGACATGTCACAGGGGTTTTGGAGAGAGGTCAGGGGGCACAGTGTATGCTTAATGTACTCGAGGCCCTGAGTTCACTCTCCTATACCACGCGACCAGCAGAGTACATCTGGACACAGTGCCGGGCAACTAAGCATCCAGCTAAACATCTTCTGGGGGGGGGTAGCTTGGGAGTAGCTCTGAGCGCTCCTCCACTGGCCAGGTATAACAGAGAAAAGAGAGAGAGAGAGAGAGAGAGAGAGAGAGAGAGAGAGAGTGAAAGAGAGTTAGAGAGGAGAGAGGGAGAGGGGGAGGGGGAGGGGGAGGGAGAGAGAGGGAGGGAGACAGAAAGGGAGAGAGGGAGAGAAGGAGAGAGAGAGGATGTGGGGAGAGAGACAGACAGAGAGGGAGGTAATCATCTGTGAACATATAAAAGGTCATTAGTGAGCACCAGCAGAGTCAGGTGAGCTGACTCTGAGCCGCTCCCCAGCCTGTGTCTGAGAAGGTCTCCTGCATCTTTGATCCCACATTCTTATCTATAAATTGGGGAAGGGAAGATAATTTTCTGTATCTCTTGTGAAGAGAAATAATAGAGAACTTTACATGTTATATAGTTTATACTACCATTATATTGGCACAAGAGTTAAGCTGGTACACACTCAGGCTGCAGTTGAACAGTAAGAGCCCGGTGTGCCTGGGAGGCCGGTGATTCTCTCTCCACCCGGCCCTGGACTTCTTTCCTACCTGGAAACACTGTCTCTTCCCTATATGCTACTCTCCTAGAACACAGACCACGGTCACCCCAAATAGCTTGGCACCCTCATCCCTGAAACATGTAAAGTCACCTCATTTGAAAACAGTTATTGCAGATGTCTTCTGATGAGATTATTTTCTATTACTAGGTGGGCCCCAAATCCAAGTATCCTTGTAAAGGACAAAGGAGAGCATGCACAAAGGATGGAGAGGGAAGTGGGGGGTTAGCAGGCACAGGTGCTGTGAACCAGAACAATCTCCCCTAGAAACTAAAGAGGTGGGTAACCCTGCAGATTTCTGTGTGAGAACCAGAGAGAGTTCAAAGGGCTGGAACTCTTTCCCGGCAGGCACAGGGCTTCTGGATTGATCTTGCACTGGATGGCCTCCTGGGCACCTTGGATGGAGACCTGGGGGCACCCAACACCACAGAGGAGCAAAACAACAACAACATAAAAACCCCACAACAAAGCAAAACAAGAAACAGACTGTGAGGAAATTGTATTACTCTAATCCAACAGGTTTTGTGCTAATTTGTTATAGGAGCCATAGAAAGCAAATAGACAAGCTAATGATCATCCCTAAACAATGAAAAGATTCAAAACCTACAGCCAATAATCTCAAGCAATAATCTGCAATGACCTTCTGATCCTCTCACCACTGCTACTGCCAGTTCAACAGTTAAACCTTGGTGGGAAGATTCTCTGGTCCTGCAGATAGAATCTCAAGCTTTATTGGAGCCACTGAATCCTACTCAGCCTGTTTATTTATCTTCCTAAAATCCTTTCCCCTTGCCTTCCTCCATGTCTCCCACCAGTACTCCAACAGACCCCTATTTTATAAGTTCTGTGTGGGCCTGTCAGGGCTATGCACACCTGGCACTCCTCCGATGGCAAGCAGGAGTGCCCTGCCCCTCACCTCTCTTTTCGGTGCATGGCATTCCCTTACTGTATGTCTACTGTATCATACCCCTATCATTCTAGGATGCAGAAGCTCTCTCCTCTCTTATTGGGTAATTCAAGCTCACCTTTCTTTAAGTTCATATCGTTCCTATCTTCTCTATGACGTTGTTCTTCAACAATAAATATTTACTAACTTCGCATCGAGGAGCAGGTACTTGACTATAAAATGCATATGGGGCCTGAGTGATAGTACAGTGAGTAGAGTGTTTGCCTTGCATGCATGACCTAGATTTGATTCCCAGCACCACATGTGGAACCCCCACCCCACCGAAGAGTGATCTCTGAGTGCATAGCTAGGAGGAAGCCCTAAAGACTGTCAGGTGTTACCCCACCCTTTACCAAAAAACCAAATGCAATAAAATGCGTTAAAATATATCTTTCAACTTTGGTACATTTACACAATGGAGTACTATGTAGCTGTTAGAAAAGATGAAGTCATGAAATTTACATACAAGTGGTACTACATGGAAAACATCATGATAAGTGAAATGAGTCAGAAAGAGCGGGATAGACACAGAAAGATTGCATTCATCTGGGGAACATAAAATAACAAAATAGGAGACTAACACCCAAGAGTGGCCGAGATTAGTACCAGGAGGTTTGCTCCATGGCTTGAAGGCCAGTCACACACTCTAGGGGAAAAGGGAGCTCAGAGAGAGAAGGGAGCACCAAATAAAGGGTGTTGGGAAGATCCTCTCAAGATGGTAGAAGCATGCTGAAAGTAAACTATAGACCAAACATGATTGCCACTCAATGCCTCTTTTGCAAACCACAACACCCAAAAGGAGAGAGAGAACAAAAGGGAATTCCCTGCCACAGAGGCAGGGTGGGATGGGGTGTAGGGGGGGGGGGTGGGAGGGATACTGGGACCCGTGTTGGTGGAAAATGGGCACTGGTGGAGGGATGGGTACTTGATCATTGTATAACTGAAACCCAAGCACAAAAATTTGTAAGTCTACAACTGTACCTCATGGTGTTTCACTAATAAATATTAAAAAATATATATCTTTCGCCAGCTTTTACGATATATGCAAATCATATCTCCCTGGACATACAATTTGCTTTTGGGGTTAGTGACAAAATCTCCTCACTTTCTTACTTCAAAGTATTAAGTATCTGCTGGACCTTCTTGACCAAAAACTTTCATCACCAAACATTCCCAAGTTCTTTTGCACTTACAGCGGAGGAATCATTTCAGAAATTTTATTAATGAGCCAGCACTTTTGCTTTTTGTATTTACCCCCAAGGGATGAAAAACTTTATTCCAAAAGGACATCTGTATTCCAATGTGCAGCACTATTAACAATAGCCCAAATCTGGAAACAACCCAAGTGTCCAAAGAATAGATGACTGGATAAAGAAACTATCATACAATACACAATGGAATACTACTCAGCCATAAGAAAAAAGTGAAATCCTGCAATTTTCTGCTACATGGATGGATCTGGAGCATACCATGCTGAGTAAGGTCAGATGACGAAGAACAAATACAGAATGATCACTCATATGCGGGATTTAAAGAACATAGTAAGGGAATAAAAAAATGGCCAAAGGCAACAGAACCTGAAAAATGGTCTACAGACCTGAGTTTACTGAAGTTGAAGGAATGGGTGGGGTTAAGTGGGGGGAGGGAGGTCCACTGGAAGAAAGGTGGAGAAACTCCGGTGGAAGGTATGGTGCTAAAAAGTTGTATGCATGAAATCTTACCATTGAGAGTATTATAAAACAGTGTCCAAATTTTTAAAATATATTTTTAAATGAGGATTTATATACAACTTTTTCATGAACTGGAGTTATAAAGAAATGAGACTCAAAATGTAGTTAGGGAAGTGTCTATTTGTGCTGCTTAGTGAGAAAGTCTGTCTGCATTTAATGGTTAGGGGAAAATACTATTTGATTGCCAAGGCTAAATGTGCTAGAGAAATATATCTCCCACCTACTCCATCCATCCAAATTATCTTTTGCAACATAAGAACAGGATTTGGGATGAAACCCTGAGTAGGGGTGTATAAATTAGATGTGATATCAACTAATAGCACAGTTTGTTCAAAATGCAAAATCTAAAAAGTGACACAAAAAAGGGCAGACAGACAAGTACAAAGATAGAGAGGAGCCCTGTCTGGACGAGGTTGGGAAGGTGAGCCCGATTCCTTAGTGTGCATGATATTCTAATAAAATCACTGGTAGGAAAATATGGTACCTGAAGTATATTTTTTAATCCCGTGAAAGTAGGTATGATCATTACGCCAGTTTTAGAGATGAAAAAAGTGTGGTTTGGAGAAGTTAATAACTTACTCAAGCAGAGCACTTGAATTTGCACATCTCAGCAACTCAAACCACACGAGGGTGTCCAGAGAGTGCTGGCTGACCACAGGAGATGACAGGGGCCCTGTGCACTTGCTAATAAGCAAACAGTTCTTCCACAGCAGAGAAGACATACCCCAAGTGCTGTCAGAGTCAAGGCAGACCTTTAGAAAGGAACGACCTAGTTCCAGACCTTCCTTTTGCTGATGATAACACAGATGATAAAATTTAAGTGGCTGGCTATCTTAATTTTACAAAGAGATGAAATCCAATTACTCAGTCTTTCAATTTCTTTTTTT